AATACTTAATTATTATCTTTATAAAATATTATATTACTAAACCAAAAATAAATTATTTCGTTATTAAACTTAAATTAAATTGTAATAAAAATAAATAAATTAAAGAAATTACATAAAAAATGAGATTTTTTAAACAGTTGGTTTGATATTAACATTGATATATTTTTTTTCAAATTTTTATGATATCTTCAAATTTATATTTTATTCAAAAATAAAATCATTATTGTTTTATTAAAAACATATAAAATCGTATTATAACATCGACAGAGACAAATAATAAAATAGAACATTAGAATCGAGACGTGTCTCGCTGCATTGCACAAGTACTCTTCTAGTACTATATAATTAAGCAGAACAGTGGGGGCGGGGCGGGGGCACTAGCTACATCGTTTGGGTTATAATATTGTTGAGCGAAATGTTGTTTCAGTAAGATTCAACACTCTTATTTGGTTAGCACCTGGTTAACGTTCAGAGCATCTCCAATCGATTAAAATTCCTCTAAAATAGAGGATTGATTTTTTATTTATTAACTTATATATCTAACCTGCTATGCGAGCCAACTAATCCTAGGGTGATTATCTGCTTTGCGGGTAGCCCAGAGTCACCGCATTTGAACATCCGTGGCCACAAGACGTTTTTTATTACTCCTTGGATTTGAACATAAGATCTCCAGACACTTTTGACCTTTGGAGTCCAAACTCAAACCAATCAAACAACACCCTTATAGTTTAAATATCTCTTTATGATCAGATAATTCCTAAAGATATATTAGCCTTTAATCTAAACAACCTTATATATTGAAGTTTGTAACGGAATCACGTGGTTTCTACACAATATTCTAGAAAATGCACCGTCCATGGAGTTTATTAATCGAAACACCATCCACCAATGCAATAAGACAAGTTTTGATGCACGTTTCGACCACATCTATTACCAATTCAGCCATCGCTGCGTACGGATCGACGGAATTTCGATGTTGGGCTTTTCGGTGGTTGGGTTTGGTCGGTCGAGATATTGCCAGAATGCAACCGTTAAGAGTTTATGCATGTCCGTGGTGTATTCTCACTGCCATAGACGATACAAAGTACAAATTAAACCTAATGGTTTGGTTTGTTTCGGTCTATGATTTAGAGATTTTTATTTGACGTAACCAACAACGCGACAAATTACACGTACACAAATTGTGGTAAAAAAGGAGGTGGAAAAAGATGTCGATAGGTATGGAATAGGTTATGGCAAGGTCCACCGACCACATCGTTTTCAAATGCCACCATCTACGACGCGACTCCAATATTAGGGGACCACTAGAATCTTCATGAACATTTTTTTTAAGTCGACATCCAATGCATTTCTTAAAATTTCTTTAAAAATAAAAATTCATAAAATCATAATGTTGAATTTATAGATAAATTCATACAATTTCACATATTTATTCATCATCATTACGAAATGTATATCTAATAGCATTCATTTAAACGAAAATATGTCATTAACCACAAGGGTGGTGCCTGATTGGTTTGAGTTTGGCTCCAAAAATAAAAAATACCTGGAGATCCCAGGTTCAAATCCAAGAAGAAATAAAAATCCTCTTATGGCCATGAAGGTTCAAATACAGTGACTCCGAGCTATCTGCAAAGCAGGTGGTCGCCCTGGGATTAGTCGGCTCGCGTAACGGATTGGATATCCAGGTTAATCAAAAAAAAAATGTCATTGACCGTATTCAACACATTTAGATCTTATCAAAATACATCAATTTGGTAAAGATCGATTCAGAGAAATGATCAATTTAAGGTTAATCGATTAAGAAACACCGTTGCTAAGGGTTTGAAGAACAATCAGATGCAAATAAGAGGTTGGTTTACCTCTTACCAGATAAAAAAAACGATAAGACATAAGTGCTCATGAAAACAATAGCTCTACCTTTTAACGAATCAGACATAAGAGGTTGATAAAAATGATGTCAATCTCCTTTTTTTAATTTTATTTTATTGCAGATAAGAGATTGATTGATTGATAATCTGTATGTACATAGAAATTGAAATAAAAAGGCTGAGCATACTTTGTTTAACCCACAGATTACCAGCAAATCTATGCATCAACAAGAAGCAGATTGGAATCAAGTACAGAAAACAAAACATATTCTTCTTCACTCTTGAATCACTTCATTGTCATCTAATTGCTCCAAGCAAATTAGCACCATCCAGCTTTGCACCTTCCAAATGCTGCAACATTAAGCTATGTGTTAACCACCATAATAATCCTGAAATTACAAGCTAAAAACTAGGACAATTGGTACAAACGGGATTCGAACCCACGCCTGGAAGGGGAGAGAAGGCCATGAAAACCAACTCTGCCAATAGAATTTTGTTTTATTATTGTAGTTTAAAGAAATATACGGGCTCTCAACGCAATGATACGCAATCACCCTTCAGGAACGCAATTTTTTTTCCCATTACAACGTAGCCTTGAAGTGGTGACCCGTGCCATTGTACGCTCTTAATTAAGTCCACCCGGGATTGGCTCAAGAATAAATCTTTGAGCAACTATCGGAGTTATCCTCAAACCTACCATTGTAAATATTAGAAGGGTATTTGAGACATTTGACTAATGACCACACTTCTACATAACTAAATATTTGCAATTATCATGGGATACATGGAATAAACAAGCATCCATACACCGGGATATTGATGGTACTTACAGTATCACGAAGATTCACATGACGCAAATAAGCTCGTTGAAGGTTTGCACCCTTCAAATTGGCATTGCTCAATTTGGCACCCTAAGATAGGAGAACAGATACAGAGAAATAAGCAGCAGTTGAAATTTCTCAACTTAAGCATATAATTGTGTTTACAATTTGATAATCATCAAAAAGACAACTTTTGTGTTCTTTGTAGTTCTACTCATAACTCTGTCTCAGCTACCAGTTCCAGCCTTTTTGGAACAAATGACATGACAATTCAGACATAAACGAGCTTTACCGATGGAGAATGATAATATTAGAAATATTCAATATAACAAAATTAAACAGGTCTTCAATAGAATAAATAGTCTTCAAACTGTTTAATTTCTATCTAACGAAATCAAGAAAAGTAGGATTCATATAAGTTTCTCATTAGAGTGAGGTTGCACTATAGCTGAGAAAATATTGCTCAACTTTTCTCTGTTCTATTACGCCACACACGGACCCACTATATCCCACACGAAAGTATGGTCCTGGAGGGGTAGGATGTATGCAGCCCTTACCTCAACCACTAGGATTGAGCGGCTGTTTCCGTAAAGACCCCCGGCTTATGCACGATGCAAATGTGTGTGCAACAGGTAATCAGAAGATATAACAAGTACAATAACACTTCAATTGTTTAGGATTCAACTGTGTGCATACAAAGCTGACACTCCGCCAAGATAATTGGGTAGATACTGGATCAATTGGACCCTAGTGTAGAAATACACTAGGATTTTCCTTACACACACTACATTTAGCATACTCCCTTTTGCACACTTTTCACTAGCTGGGGGTCTTCACGGAAATAGCCACTCTACTTTTTTGGGTAGATATCAGATCTGTGTACATATTAAGGGGGCGTTTGGTTCATTTCAAGTTTTACCCTCCCCCCCCCCCCCCCAAAAAAAAAAAAAACCATCTCTGGGTGGGAATACTGGAGACTCATTGGTTTGGTTCTGTTTAGTTTGGTTTAGTGTAGAAATACAAATTAATAATATTCTCAACTTTTTAATACCCATAGTTTGATTGCAAATATTTATACGGTAGGAACATAAAGGCTGTTATCATGTTTTGGAATTTATACTAAAAAAAACATGGACGATATTAGATACAACTTTCCATGCCATCACAAAGCTGAAGAAACTTATTGACTTCTTGTTCCTTGCATGCAATGTCATGCAACTCCCAAATAACGATACTTTTTCAACCAAGCCCATGTCAGATGAAGTTGAAATTCAAGATCAAATTAACACACATTATTGTGTGATCATACATGTTGCAGAATTAGAATAGGCATACCTTCAGGTTGGCTCCTTCCAGATTGGCTCCCTCCAGATTTGCATTTGTAAGATCAGCAGTCTGAAGACATAGAATATAAGATAACATAAAACCTCCAAGGAATAAAAAATAAATTAGTAAAGTTATCTATAACTGCAGTAAATGACATCCCATGGAATTTGTCAGTTTTGTCCCTCAAACATCATACAACATGTTCTCATCTAGCCCCACCAGTGCATTAGATGTAGAAGTTTTGATCAAGTTGAAGAAATTCTAACTCATAAAGCTAAGCATACAACCTTCCCAAAAAAGACCAGTCAAGCCCACCCAATAGTATGTCTTGCTATTCAATCGATTTAAAGAAATTCAAACCAAAAGCTTTGAACTGCGGACTTTGCTGTTTGCAGGGACGTAAGCAACTAAGCTACTGACAATTTGTGGCTTATATCATGCAACTTAAAATGGATAGTGAGTTCCACTATGAACCAGTGCGTCTACATGGTCCTTTTTTAGGAAGAAAGGATTAAAAAGTTTACAGGTTGAATTAAAAATATTCCATACTCAAAGAGTTAGGACTAAGCAGCAAAATCAGTGAGTCATTCCTACAAATGAGTAGAGATAGGATCTACATAATTGAGCAACAAACATAATATGATTTAGGCCAATAAGTTAATTCTTTATACGAGGATTACATAAAAAACGTTGTACTACTACTAGCCAGGGCCAGCTCAAAGATGACACAATCCCATAGTCCCATGTCCTAGAAGGAAATATATATATATATATATATATATATATATATATATATATCAACACCGTAAACCATCTTGGCAAGGCAAACTATGATGTATTTTTATCGTGTATTCAATCAAGACTTAAACATACCTGTAGATGTGCAGAGCGCAGGTCTGCACCGCWGAAGCTACAATCTATTAAGCAAGCATCTGCAAAACAAATTAAAATAATTTATTTTGCAAATTGATAAAAGAGCATATTCTCCACCACATGCTTGGCAGAATGGTTAACAAGATCATTTGGACACTCGATGCAAATATGCAATCCACTTCTCTTAAGGCTTGACTATGCATGGTAAGTGCATCTAGAAATTAATTTCCGTCCAGTTGACACTTGTAGTCTGGTTTTGTTAACATTGAAGAACTTCTTGGTGCTTCATTTATGACTGGTCCATATCGACTTTGCTTCTAATAAGTAGAACTTAGCACCAACTATCTTACGATCAATTCACTCCAAATTATTTATTAAGCATAGCATCTCATTACTCATTASTATCCAAAKCAGACATTTGACAAACAAATTAATAAATACAAAAGAAGAGATTTTTGCCTTGTAAGTTTGCACTCTGAAGATTAGCCCCAGCCAGCAAAGCTCCACGAAGATTTGCTCCCGTGAACTCACATCTTCCCTAGGCAAGACAAAATCAATTGAGGTGGCTAGTAATGGAAATGGCTTTTGACCATATTGTTCACAAMAGATAGCCAGGTACAAAGTGTAAGTGAATTCCCACAAATATATTTTGGAGCATTTATATAACCAAAAACTTTTTGCATCATAACAAGAGAAATTATAGGTCCACTGAATCTTACTCACGCAATGTTGCATTGTGAAAAATGGCATTTTCAGCATCTACATCCTGCAATCAAATATAGAAAGCAGAATTGTAGATCAAATTAGTAAAATGAAAAGGTCAATCAATGGAGAATTTGACTATCATGTGACCACACTCTAGATATTTAACTAAATTAAAACAATAATATAAGGCCACTATATTATACAAATACATGCATAAGATGACTCCTGCAGATACCATTAGACATAAAATAGTTTAAGAAGAAGATAATTACTGTCATTCCCAGACTTAGGGTCCTGTTTATTTTTTTCCTTAATCGCCTTACGAGTTTAGTGACTTATACGCTCAACCATTAACCATATTTGTTTGTGAATTAATTTTAAGCAATGGCTGAAAATGACAGAAATGAATAAGCCACCATATATCTCTGTCAACAGTAAGCCATCCTATCCCAGACCTGTCTAAATAAAAAAAATTCCCCGGAGCTGGTTAAGAACTCAATGAAAGAAAAGTGCACACCAGTACTAACTTACATATAAAGTTGTCATCTTATTACAGACATGTCTTCATAGAAAAAAAAACAGCCCCTAAGCTAGTTAAGAACTCAATGAAAGAAAAAGGCATATCAATAGTAAGTCGCATATAGATTACCCGAAATTTTGCACAATGAAGATCAGCACGTGAGAAGAACACATTTTTCAGGCAGGCATAGCTGAAGTCCACATATGACAAGTCCTGCACAAGTTATAGTAGAAGAATTTGGATCAGAAGAGCCAACATACATGATACATGTCTATAACATTGACTATGATTTGGTTTTCACACTTTGCCTAAAAAAAGTTTATTAACAACATTCACGACCATTGGCATATTTCCAACTTTCTACTGGGCTAGCCATCCAWAAATAATAACTGTATAAATACTGGCTCTTGATAGCCAGTTTTTGTTCGACTTTTTCATAGCCAATAAGAATCAAAACCGTTGAAAGAACTCATGCAATAGTCAGAAATTTCTYGATGAAATGGAGCTGGAACAACCAGTTCTTCCTGGATACCCTGATTCAAGGCCAAAGGGATTACAAAAAGAGCATTTAAGCTTCATGTGTTCTCCTTTCATCCATTGTAAAAACCATCGATCAAGCTGATGTTGTTGGTTCACTCAAGTATGAATGCAAGCTAGTATTATAGTTATTCGTACCATAAGGTAGTATGGTTCACAATATGAATCCATTCATATGGGAGCATGAATTGTAAACATATTTAATATAGTAACATATATATCATATGTTCCTATCACAGGGTATTTCTACATGAAATTTAGAACATGTTGCAATTTCAGACGATATAAACCTCTAATTATGGAGGATGAAACGCATAATTACTCTTCTTTTTTATAAGTTTCTCATGTCTGCACAAGTGAATCTATAATTCCTGTGTTTCTTTGTGCAAGTAGTAATTTGTTTTTAGCTTGCTTAGAAGAATTTAAGTTCATAGCGTATCAAAGCTGTCTATGGCATATTTCTAATTTTTTGTTGTCCCATCCAATATCAAAGCCCAAATTCCTTAGGGGTTATGAACCCATAAAATGTGCACTTTCAAACAATACTCTATAACTGTATGTGCTGTAATACAATTCATGATACGACAGACATCAAGTATCTTGCAGTTTTATATGACAAATGACAACTAATCTGAAGTCACACAGGATGTTTTAATCTTACCAGTTTAGAGAGATCGAGTCCAGATAGATTTACTCCTCTCAACCTGACTTTTTCAGATTGTACACATTTGATAATATCGGTGCGCGTCAATTCAGTATCCATTTCTTCATCCTCCTTCCTCTTATTGAAGACCTCAGTTATGCCGTCTACTAGTCCCTGATGATGAACGTAATAACCAGTCAAAAGGGAGGCTATTCTCATGAAGTACTGTAGACAACTTTGTTTTTAAGTACAATTTTAATTTGGAGACATCCAAAGACAGTTCATCAAGCAAATATCTATATATCAATAACAGAGTGAAATGGTATCTCTAAATAATAGAGTAAAATGGCAATTAGAAAAATATTGTAGCCTTGATATTGATACGCCCACTATTCTTCTCATTTCAATATCAAAGTGCAATCATTATAAGAGTTACATCTTATGAGGAGCACCCTAAGATCGGGGTTGGTTATTTTCAGATAAAAAGTTTATTCTTCTTGAGGTTCTGTATCTTTTGCAAATGCTAAGAGAAAACATTAAATTAATGAACTGAAAAGCAAGGATCAGTTTCACAGAGCTCATACGGCTAACCAATAGCAGAATGTGGCCACAAAAATGGGAACTTATAAGTGCTAGACTCTAAAGTCATTTAGAAGAGAAGGGAATAACTTACAAGAAGCTGATAGTATTCTGCCTCCCGCAAAAGCTCTGAACACTCTAAATCAGTCAAGTTAGGAACTACACCATCCCTCAACCAATTTAAAATATGCCGAAAGTGTTTCCCATCCCTATCAACAAATACATATCCCTGCAAAAACTCATAATGGTCAAAGCATGTCCCTATCATCCAGGCTCAAGAAGTTTGAGGACTCAATGGCGTGCAAACATGATTGTGTAACCCACAAGGCATATACTCCACAGGGCTTGGTACAAAATGGCACCACCACAAAATACCTTGCGGTGAGAGGGGATAGACGGAAACATATTGACAAAAGCCAAATTTCCCCCCGTGGAAAAATTAGTTCTCTAGGGGGGAAATTCCCTTATTTAACTACTGAGGTGCAGCCGAAGATTTCTATCTTTCAAATTAAGATGGAATTTGCTCCGCTCCCTTCCAAAAAACATTGTAACCAAAATTAGTAACCACAAAGTAGTTGCACTAAATTATACTCCATCTCAAAACAAATGCAACAATTTCTGCTTGAGGGTGCCCCAAAATAAATAAATGTTTTCTTTTTGGGAAAATCAAAAAAAATATTAATAGAGCTGATGCTGGATCACAAGGTCTCACTTTTACTATTTTGAGGAGTATTTTAGACAATTGATTGACGGTCCACTGTGTTTATTAAGCTATGTGTCTAGTCAAAGGTTACGTTTATTTTCGGACAGAAGAGATAAATGGCCTCAATGTTTCACTGTAGGCCATTGAAAGCCAGTTGAGATAACGAGAGCATTAATGAAGATGAAACATATGTCGGGTTGAAGTATAATTGTTCTAGCCATTTTGTTGCTTGAGGATTTTATCAGAGGTTTTAAAACAACTTTTCCCAATAACCAAGCAGGGATCACCTCTCTTAATGAATGACGCATGATCCTACTATAAACATGTATATGATTTTAAACTCCTGCTGCCGAGCAACTTCATATTCAACGACCATTAAAATATTCGCATCTCATGAATTTGAATGTGTTCATCTGACATTATTCCAGATCCATTTATTGCTAAACTGAATTCAAATAAATCCCGAACCAGTTATCCTTTGAATTCACCGATTCTAATTCGAATAATCATGCATAAATACACACACATACTATAAGCGGAAATAGTATCTCATGCAGTGAACAGTGTCATAAAAGAAGGTCCTATATGTTGTGGGTTAGGATGTCTCCTCATTGATTTTTATTCATTGTGTAATATAACCCACATACAACCACCACGTACTACAATATATTCATAATGATGTATAAAATGACGCATATATAAATTAATAACACAAAAGTCTTTCATCCCAACTAGTAAGGCTACGTCATAAATGGAACAAATAGAAATTATAATTCATAAAACCCAAAGGAGAACTTAAAGAGAGATCTTAAGAGTCCCTTTCTGCTCACGAATTTGACATCCGTTCACACACTCCTATATTAGATCAACTCCTACCATATGCCCCGCTCATGCAAGTCTCTCTTTCTACTTTCCCTCCATACCAATCTTGGCCAACCTCTACCTCTCTTAACAACTCTTCTTGGTACCAAAAAGAGAGGGTAAGAAAAGCCGTAATGATCCAAATGTTACACATCAATCATTAACCAGCAATTTAAAACCAATCAAGGTAAATAATACAATCAACGATAGACAAATAATAAGCACCAGATCTTGCAACCAAACAGGTTTCAGAGTGTTGTCTGTCTGTCTGTCTGTCTACCTACATACCTTCTCAGAGTCCTTGCAGAGCGTGTGACGACCACTGAACATAGCAGCAAGCATGGAATGAGGCTCCCGCTGAGTTAGCGTATCAACAGTTGTGCAGAATTTCTTTCCCCCTGTAAAGTAAACAACATTAAATCAACAACCAAAATAAACCACATCCCCCATAACTACATGAGTGACAAGACTATCAACTGCAAAAGTTTACAATCTCCACGCCCCCATCTTTACGGAGTAAAAGATATGTTATGCATCGATCCCCACTTCCATGATCCGGCATAACACTAAAGTCAGTTAGATTTCTAACCAACTCAGCTCTCTCTCGTACCAAAATTTGGAATTCCACGCTCAAAAACATGACCTAAACTAATGGAAAGATACTATATATGTTATCACGATTAATATAAACATAAACAGTGGACGATCAAATGCCAAGAACGATAAAATTAAAAAAAAAACTATACTGAAAACCTAATCAATCGATCAATTCAGAACCAAATTACAGCAAATTACAAGTGAAATAGTCAAGAAATATGAAATTATAACCTATATTGAGACGAACAATCGAAGAAGAGGCGTCAGAGTACATCGTCATCGCCCTCTCTGAGATATTCCACAGTATAACCGATGAAGGGGTTAGAAATTTTGGCAGGAGTCTTCAGACGCATATCAGCTAAAACGCCTAAACCCACTAAGGAAGTTTGCAGCAATTTTTCTAAATGCCCCCTATACTTCTTCATTTTGCATATCAGTCCTCTACATTTTTACTTTGCTTCATAACACATCCATGATCCGATTTGTGGTATATGTAGATAGGGTTGGGTTCCGATGAGAAGATAAGTTATGATAAGAATCATAAGAAGAGATTTTCATCTATAGATCAATCATAATTAAATGTCAACACTAATGAGATAAAACAATCTAGAGAAAATGTATATAAGAAAAACTGCCAAAATACTTTTTGTAAATCAAGAATATATTAAATCAATTATTTATAAACAATTTGTTTATCAATTAATATACAATATATTTAACATACAAAATATACTATACTTATATACGGGGATGAGGCGGGTCGGGATCACGTTACCCTCCTCATCCCTGGTTTTTAACTTTCAGGAATCCTCATCCCCATCCCCATCCCTATCCCTGCCTGATCCCCCGTGATGAGGGGGAATCCCAGGCCCCATTGGCATGGATACACAAAATTCCTTAACGAGGCATGTCTCATTTCCATGCCTACTCAAAATCCTCATTTCTCCGTTATAAAAACGCTGTTAAAAATACCATTAAAATGAAAAAATTCCATTGATTCAATCTATTCAACTTGTTCTGTTTGCAACATAATTTATTTAAATTCCATTAGAATTAACAATCTGATTCAGGTGATAATTATTCATTCTTTCGTTTTTCTACTGCATTCTATTATTACTGTTATTATTATTAAAAAGATGAGTTTATTATTATTACTGTTAAAATGTAAAAATATAATTACCTCAATTGATCTATTCCTTATTATCTCATTTATTCATTTCTATTATTTTACGGAACTTTTTTTTGCTTTGAATTATATATATTATTATGTATTACGTCTAATTTTAAGTTGGAAAAAGTGTTACGTATTTTAGATTAGTTTATATAAGTTATGATTTTATATAAATTTTGTTTTCTTAAAAATATAAAAAAGATTTTTAGGCCCGTCACTCTGTGAGCAAGTTCGACCCATTCATAAGCAAGGACGGGCCCAAAAAAATTTCAAACGGTGACACCATTTGACTAAGAAAATAACACTAATAGGATGTGAACTTAGGTCTGAGATGAAATAAAAATCTTGCAAATCAACTATACCAAATAAAACTTGTTCCCATTGTAGTTTCAAAATATATAAGTGACACACAATAAATTAATATGGTTGCACTTTTCATGAACCTAAATTTTTTTACCTTTCAAAGAAGGAATAATACACGTGCCACCCATACCAACCAAGTAGGTCCGTCCCTCTTCATACGGTCAGTATCCGACAAGTTTTCAAGTCTATAAAAAAGGATTGGATTTACATGTATTTTTTATTTCATAAATATATCAATATAAATTCATGTTATAAACCGAATGTATATGAAACAAATATATTATAAAATAAATATAATTAATCGCTATATTAGATATTAGGGGGTGTTTTGGATTGTTTATAAAAACTGTTTTTAACTTATTTCAATCTGGCACCGGTGATAAGCAGTTTTCTGGTGTTTGGATAAGAAAAAAAACCGCTTATACCGGTGCCAAACCAATAATAAGCTGTTTTTGATAAGTTAATGATTCATGACTTATGGAAAACTGCTTATTACCAGTTTACAATTTTAACCCTGTTTTATTTAACTTCGATTTGATACCACATAAGTTAATAAATACTTTTACAAAAAAAACATAAGTTGTTTTAAATAAGCAATTCCAAACACCCACTTAGTAATAAGGAGATGTTTGGGATTGCTTATTAAAACAACTTATTGACTTATTCCAGTGTGATACCAGTAATAAATATTTTTGAGTGTTTGGATAAACAATTTATACCGGTGTCAAACCGATAATAAGAAGTTTTTGAAAATGTTAAACTCTTATAACTTATAATAAATTGATAAATATTTTTATAAAAAATCATAAATTATTTCAAATAAGCAATTTCAAACCCTCTAGAAAAAAAAGAAAAAAAAGAAAATCATATAAAATAAAAAGTCCCCAAAGACGTCGGGATAGATGTTGCCGCCTGACACGTCTGGATGTTATGACGTCACGCATAAGATTGGAGGGAAATGCCAGAATGCACAGCTTGCGTTTTTGCATGTCCGCCACGTTTCACCACCATTGACGATACCAAGCACTCACTCAGCCATGTCAAACTGTTCTATACACAGGTTACAAGATCGAAAGAGAATCCTATATAATCAAATATATTTACACATTAGCAAGAAGGAATTGAGCAATTTACAGATTACAAATGGAGAAGAAGAAGCATTTATCCACCGTTGCTAACGACGTTCTTCAAGGATGTGCAGTGTACGTAATTTACTGATTACCTGAAAAAAATGGATCGAAATTTGAAATTGATGTAGAGTTGGACTTTATTTGCAGGAGATTGGAGACGTCTGTGAATGTATTAGTGGAAGAATTCGAAAACAGATGGAAGGCGGATACGGGAGGATACTCGAGGAAATTAGTGGAGTATTGTGCCTCGAAAGTGCTCAATGAAATATGTAGGAACTTGGAAGAAGCGATTATGGAAGGAACTTTCAATCGGTTTACATTCGACATGATGCTTGCTTGGGAAACACCTAGTTCTGCAGATGAAGAGTCTCATCAGGTATCATGATTGTCATTTTCATTTTTAGTTGTTGCTTAATTCTCTATATTTTGGGGGAAAATATTGCTCAATTTCCGGACATTATCGTTGGCCGTAACAAAATAAGTCTAATAGATCGATTTCAAGAACAAAATCAAAGAAACTAACCATTTTATTCATTAAAACAGTAAAATAGAATACCAAAGAGCGCTCTCAAAATAACCATTTCAAATCGTCAATTTGCTCATTATGTTGTGGAATTGCGTGTTAGTTGCAACGAAAGAAACAGGGTGGTTTAGAAGCAATAATCACAATTGTTTGATTTATTAGTCTGTAACATGTAAATTCAAGAAGTTGGTAAAAGCAGTAGTATAATCTGACCTTTTGATTTTAACGGGTTTGCCTCCTTTCGGTTTCAGGAGTGTGTGGCCAAGGAAAAAGAAGAGAGGAAAACACCGAGGGATACCAAGTTGACTGACGAGAAGGATGACATTCCTCTGTTCTACACAGACGTCATGCCACTGCTTGTATGACACCTCTTCCTTTCATCTAGTTTAAATTTTAGGGTTTGTGGACACTAGGTTCCTTGGAGACACGATAAAAAGGATATGATGTTGCTTTCAGGAAACTAAAACAGTCATTTTAACTTGAGACTCTAACAAAAACCCAAGGGGCTCATTTGATTTTGGATAGAGGTTCTAGAAGCAACGTATCATGCAAACGTAGTATTTCCACTATGATCATCAATGATTTTACTAGTGTTATGGTTCCTTGGTATTCTGATATGCTGTGTTGGTAGGTTGATAACGAGCCAAGCGTCGGAGATGATGCTTTTCTGTGGTTTGGATCATTAGTTCCTTTGGTGGCTGATTTCGTGAACGGGAGATTCACTTTTGAGACGCTAACTATATCTACTGGGAACCGTTTACATTTCCCTGCATACGACAGATTCCTTAAAGAAATCATTAAGTAATTCTTTTCAATCCCATTTTGGCCTTCTGTATGCAATCTAATCAGCTCTCTTTCTGAATGTTAAAAGAGTCCCCCCAATCGACTAGACTTGGTCAATTTCTCTCTAAACCCTAAAACCTCCTTTGGAGGGTAATTTAATGGGGTTCCACATATTCTCATAGTATCACAACCAATAATTTAATGGGTTCCACATATTCTCATAGTATCACAACCAAGGTCTACCACTATGGGGCAATCTGGACTCGTTTAGCCCCCTCTAGACACTTTACTTTGGGAGAATCTGTAACCGTCTAGCTTGGAGGGGTGTGTTAGAGTTCAACATCAGTTAAGACTCGACCATTTCTCCTACATATATGTTGGAACTCCTCTTCTCTTCTCAAAGGCTCTTTTGGAGAGTAATTTATGGGTTCGCCTATTGCTGCACCGAATTAACAATCTCAGTCGTAGAGTTAAGGTGGAGTTTCAGAAAGACCATACAAGTATTCCCTAAAATTTGGTTGGCTTTTCTTGTAGATGTGTAACGCATTTGCAAAAGCAAGCAACACCAAAGGGTGTGGTTATGGCAGATGATGAATTCATTCTGCACGTCGAGGGAACTGCAACTTCACAAAGAGTTATACGCCATATCGGAGGACAAAGTTGGCCTGGTTTGTGTTGATTCTCTCTTTTCTTTCAGGCTTAGAGTATGTGATGTGGCTGGCTATTTCACTTGGACGTTATAATTAATCCATGGTTCTCTAGGTAGGCTGACATTAACCAACTATGCTCTCTACTTTGAGGCCTCAGCGATTGTTTCCTATGAAGATGCAATTAAGCTTGATTTGTCCAAGGACATAGAGCAGTCTGTAAAACCAGGAGCAACAGGCCCCTTGGGTTCTCCTCTTTTTGACAAGGCCATAATTTACGAGTCCTCTGAGCTGTGAGATTACAACTTCATATCTTTAATATGCCAATGGTGACACTCCAACAAAATCGGTTTTATAGGACGCCGTTTTATGTTTAGCTGTCTTAATAGACAACTTGATAGGACTTAAGTTCATAGGACCAGACATTTGTGTATCCTATATGCATGTGTTACAATAAGTTGATAGTGTTTTTGGGCATCATAACAAGGTTTTTAGGATATTTTGAAATAAAACGTTATATTAGTTTTTTAGAAGACATTTTTTGAAGAAGTATCTTACAAAAACAAGTGTCCGATGAAAAACTAATAGTACACTTGTAAGGATGCCCATATACGTGGTAACATCCTATCGTAACACTTCTATATAAGGACAAAAGTGTCCTTACATGCCCATAGTACATCATAACATCCTATTGTAACATTTTTATGCATGACATTCAATTGTTTGGTCTACAAACTTAAATCCTATGAAAAGAAGTCCTATAAAGTAGTCTATTACTATTAGGACACTTACACATCTTTGACGTCCTATATAGACTTTGTTGTAGTGTGGTTTTTCTATGTATAGCATCCAGTCATAACATTCCAATTTAAGCATGTTCATGGTGAATGTATTACTTCATCGTGGTGGTAACTTTCTTGACATGATTCAACCTTTTCCATGGGAGTACATTAGGAAAGATGATGTCCACATTGAGTTCCCCGAGATGACTAGCTCCACCAGACGTGACCATTGGCTCGCTCTAGTAAAGGAAATTATGCTTTTACACAAGTTCTTAACAAAGTTCAAAGTGGAATCTCCTCTAAAAGCTTGGGAGATGCATGCAAGGACCATCCTAGGGATAATAAGGCTCCATGCAGCCAGAGAGATGCTACGGATTTCTCCGCCTGATCCCAAAAGCTTCCTCATTTTTGCGTTGTTTGACGAGCTGCCTACAGGGAGCAATGTGTTACAAGAGCTTGCTGAGAGTTTGAAAACCGGCGAAACTGGACACCCGTGCAGCGCTACCTCCATCCTCCGCAACTTGAATGTCTCCCATGTTTGGACCCAGAACACAGAAATTAAAGTAGGGAGCGGAAGTAACAGACCTGAAAATCTGTCATCCTTGGAAACAGCAGTCGAACAAGTTAGAGAGGAAGCAAAAGAGATCAACGTGGCGAAAGCTAAGGCCGATGAGTTAAAAGACGAAGGGATTGGCAATAGTGCTCTTGTATTGAAGGTATATTTCTTACAAAAAAAAAAAAACTTATACCGTGAATGCTTAGTAGATCCATGCAGCACATTTTATATTATTTATAGACGGGTGAACCTCACACGCCACTCATTCTTGGTGAGGGTTTGAACCCTCAACCTCCAAGGAGGTAGGATCTAATCTACATGTAATCCAAATACGACCATTTTACCCTTTTTATGGATATATTTATATACGACAAATACTCACACACACTCCTTACTTTTGGTTGTGGTTTGAACCATTGACCTCTTGGGAGGCTGGTTATGTGGAAACCTGGATACCGTTGGACCAGTGATGCTCTGGTCATTTTTACCTTTCTTTGCACCTTTGCTTCCACTTGTAGAAATTTGCCATATTTTAAAGGTTGCTGCACATTCACACTCTCGATATCATTGTGTAGGAGCTGGTGAAACCATTAAAAGACGCAGTGCCATGGTTTCAAGGGGTCATCCAGTGGGAAAGACCAGCATCCACCCTGGCAGTGGTTGGCATTACCCTACTAGTTGTATACAAGTAAGTGTCCTGTGGAATCTAATTAAGCTTCCTATATAATATTCCATCCATAGCAAAATAAATGGCCACAATGAAAAAGGCACTTTAGAGTTGTGTAGTTGTTACACTTGGTAACGAAGGGGCCGATTACTAAGCACTTACCCGGCAAGCGCTTACCGGATGAACATGATAAGGGCCGAGAGTCTTACCCTGTAAGCGAGAGTGACGACTCTTACTCGGTAAGCGACTACCAGTTGAATTGTTGCATAAGTTACCCTTTTGATCGACTACAATCTTACCTGGTAAAGTAAGTTATCAACGGGTAAGCGTTTGGGTAAACGTCCCCTAACTAAATGACATTTTTACCTCCCATCTCATAATTAAGGGTATAATTGGGAAGTAGACATTTATTTTGGAACAAACTAAGGTAAAAATGTGGACACTTCTTTTGGGACGGAGGGGATACCTGTCTAAAGATGTTAAGTAACGGTGCTTGCAGAGAATGGGTTGGCAAGGCCATGGCGACATTCTTGATGTGGGTAGTCTCGAAAATGATCTGGGCAAGACGAAATGAAGTCGGCAAGAAAACCAAATTTGTTGTGTGTACTGCTTCTGACCAGACAACAAGGGAGAGCATAGTGTCGGCACAACATGGACTCAACTCAGTATACAGCATCATGCAGTTGGCGAACATTTCGATATTAAAAATTTGGTCAATATTGTTGTCCAACGCCCCCGAGGTAAGTTGGTAAAAACCATTGTTATTTTGTGTCGCATTAGCTCATGACCTGTACCTTTTACCCTAGGAACACCATCAAATAAGGTACATCTTTTGTCTACACGCACATATACAGATGACATGTTGGAGTCCCACATCAGCTAGACTTGAACATTTTTTCCTATGTATGTGTTGAAACCTTCATTCTCTCCCCAACGGAGTTCCACATATTCGCACATGGTATCAAAGCCACCATTAGTCTAGGGACAACACTCTGGAACTATATGTGTTTGTCTAACCTACGTTGGAAGGAGCATGACGAGCATGATGGAGTCCCACGTTGGGTAGATTAAGACCATATCTCCTCAATATATGTTGGAACCCATTTCTCTCCCCAAGGCTTCTTTTAGAGAGTAATGTAACAGAGTTTCACATGACGCACTCTAAACTACTTCTCTTTCCATCGATGTTTTGTGAATTTTACATCTTCTGTGGTATTAAGGGGTTGTATACCCAAACACTTACCCGATAAGCACTTATCGGTGAGATTCAACACCACCACTAATCTTATCGAGTAAGATTTTAGTCCATCGAAACGGCATTGTGTGCAACAATTTATCCGTTAAGCACTAACTGGGTAAGAGTCGTCACCCTCACTTACCGGATAAGACTCTCGGTCCTTGTCATGTTAATTCGATAAGATAATGTGACTCGGATAAGTGCTTACCGGGTAACGGCCCTTAAGTTCAGTTATCCAAAGATCTACACTTGACTCTAGTGTCTATAAGTCTAATTTTCAACAAGTATTTGGGGGACCTTAAGTTCAGTTATCCAAAGATCTACACTTGACTCTAGTGTCTATAAGTCTAATTTTCAACAAGTATTTGGGGGACCGGTCCTTGCGTTTGTTTTGCTCTAATATGGCAGCCTCCACTTGTATTTTAACCTTCTTTATATTATGGGGTTATAAATGAAATTCTTATGACATAATGTGGTAAATTTGTAAAATCAATGTCATAAACCTATTGGGCTTATAGACATTGCTTCTTTTTCATAATTGTACTGAATAAGAAAAACTTGTCTCATTGCTGGACTTTCGGATTTGGACTGTAAGTGGAATAAAAGTTAAAGGACAAATTACTAAGGGGATGTTTGATTAGAGGTATTAAGCAGTAATCAATGAAAATAAAAATAAAAAAAATGTCTGGTTTTATCTTATACGAAGTCCAGAAGTCAAAGTTTCATTTCAAAGTTCAACTGGGGATTGAAAATTCATTTCTCCAGAAGTCCAAAGTTTCATTTCAAGTTAAATTGGGAATGAAACATTTCCGAGCATGAACCAAACAATCTTGAAATTACTCATGTCAAATTAGAACCTTCTACAATTTCTTTTACCCAACTATTCACTTTTTATGGTACTACTAAAGAGTTTTATATGTGTTTGTAGCACACGGAGACGGTGATCATAGCAATGACCGGGTGTGCGATTGTATTAGCGGTGGTCCCTCTAAAGTTGATAATTATGGGAGTTGTGGCATCGGTATTTGCATCGACATCCAAGTTGGGGAAGGTGGTGAAGAGCAAGAAGAGAGACATGGGGAATCGGAGACTGAAGGGATGGTGGGATTCGATTCCAGTTATCCCCATTGAAATTGTGGACAAGGTCGAAGACATTCCTAAAGCAACGAAAAGAGACTAGCCTTTGTCCGGAAGATAATAAGCGTTGGGACTTTCCGAGTCTTTTGTACCTATTTGTTGTTTTGAGCTGTATAAACATCAGGTGTTTGTAGTTTGTATGTCATTCCACCTTAACCCTTTGGTTGTGTGTGTGTGTGTGGGGTAACGTTATGCTGGGACAGATTTTCTTTAGAGGTTGTTGAACAGAATTTGAGTGAGATTAGAATGCATTTTTTCTGTGTTAGATAAAATAGGTGAAGAGGGTGAATATCTAAACCATCTATGCTAAATTTAAAACATTAAACCTTTAATGTTCACTATTTTTTTTATGTTGTAGCAAATTTTGAGTTCTACCTTTTGAAATAATTCATTATTCGACTCTATCAGCAAAGTAAAATTGTTATTAAGTTGGTTAAAAATATATGTAATAATTATATATAGGTTATAGGGTAGGATTCATCTGTAAAGTATGCATATGTGTATATACGTAATTTCTCCGATATGCATACGTGCGTAAAAACTAGGGAACACCTACAATTACTTATATGCACATGTACAAACCGTAAATATTAGTGTCCAATACTTGATGTGATGACTCTAGCCCCATGTCGGCTTCATTGACGAGTCATGATGTTGTGATATAGGATCAAAATTGACTTTCATTTCATTTAACTCATTAGGGCAAAGAGTGGCTACTAGATAGACAATTAGTTTTGAGACCAAGAGATTGGGCTATCGGCCGGTATCTGTTGAAGTCATAACGACAACTAGGATGTTCCTCAGTTTTTTATTTTCTGAGGGGTTCTTTCTAAGCCTCAATCTCTCTCTATATAGAGAGAGGGGGGGGGGGAGAGAGAGTCGAGTTCAAACAAGAATGGTGCCTATTAAAAAGAATAAAAAACGATCGAATCACATGTGATTCACGCGACTTTGCCCCACGACCTGAAGACATGGCCAAAGTCGACCACACACCTTTTTTGACCGTTAATGTAAAACACATGTGATTTTGCACGTGATATGACCACTTTCGTATTCTCTTAATTAATCAGCATTCTCGTTTGATTCCCCCTCTCTCTATATATTATAGTGTTAGAAGATATATATATATATATATATATATATATATATATATATATATATATATATTAGCTAATGGAAAACCCAAAATATCAAAAAGCACAAGGATGATATGATATAGTGTTTTGAAGTAGGCTGCCGGTGGTGACATTACAAAAGATCCAAATGACCAAGTTACAGCTCCACCACCTTCTAGTCAAGTCAAAGTCAACAGCAGTAATCTGATATCAACTTGGTTTTTTGTAGATCTGTTCTCTAGTTTCCTCTCACCTTTTCCAAGTCTGGAAGATCTGCCAAAGGAATTGCTGTAAGAGAACTTGTCTACTTGTTTCCTTTGGTCAATTAGTTCTTAAAAATATCAACAAGTGCTAACAAAAACTATAAAATCTCAGAACTTACATAACATTCCGTCGTCCCCACTGCTCCCTTCATCATCACTAGTATACTGCAGTCGTGGAAAGGAATTATTACACACTCAAGTCGGGTTATTTATATATGTGTGTGTAGACGAAGGATCGTGTAAGAATGGAAGTTAAGGTGAGAAGCGTAAGAAAGGAGTTGGACCCTTTATCACTTTTAATCTCATCCCCACTCCATGGAATTGATCCGGTGCATGGGAAGGGATCTCACCCCCACCCCCATGGGAAGGGATGTCACCGGAATTGATCTGGTGCATCTCATTAATGTTGAGATTCAATAAGGATTGATTAATGGAGATCCCTTCTTACCTTTCTCACTATAAATTTAATGAATTTTTAAGAATATAATAAATTACTTTACCCATAATATGTGGAAGTATCAACGTAATTTCATAGTCACCGGAACCCAAACCCCTGTGTGTGTGTGTATATATATATATATATATAGAGAGAGAGAGAGAGAGAGAGAGAGAAAGGGAGGTTCACAGGGGTGGATTTAGGGGGTTCCAGTGGATATCCATGCAACCACAAAAAAAATTCAGATATAGTGTAGTTTTGTTCTAAGGTCCTAAAGCTGCTACAATTTTGTTTGGTTGTGTGCTACGGTGCAACCACAGAAAAATCCTCCTGGATCTGGATCCGCCCCTGCCCCTGCCCCTGCCCCTGCCCCTGGAGGTTCATTTAAGAACCTTAAATATATTGAGAACCCCGAAACCACCTATTTTATGTAGTATTCATGAAAAACAACCTTAAATAATAATGAATATTATTTATCATGAATTTTATAACGTTTTTCATCATAAATACTATACAAAATAGATGTTTCTTGGGTTTCTAAATGGGGCTACCCTATATATAAAAGTAAATGAAAACTGTTACAAGATTAGAAAATGACTGTTTTGGTTAAACCATACAACTTTTGAGTTGATGGGACAATGTGAAATAAAACTTTTTTCAAGATTGTTGCGTTGACTTTAGATTTGAAAAAGAAAATATCAGATGTTGACTTTTTTCTTTTTAAAATTGGGGGGGGGGGGGGGGGGGTTAAACATTGGCAAGGAAGATGATCTTACCTTCAAGTCATCATTATCAACACCTGCAAAACCGTATACAAGGAACAAGAATTTCAATAAATAAAAACTCATAACCAACATATACATGGATCATTGATTTTATTAAACTATTAAGGGTCAAAATCTTTTGCAGATATATAACTCATCAAAAGGGGGGTCGTGGTAACCGTGAGTGTCTGGGCCAGCTTACACGTACCTTGACTGATCTCATGGGCAGTAAAATCTCCAGACTAAGGGGCCGTTTACTAAACACTTACCCGGTAAGTGTTGATCGGGTAACTTTCCTCACTTGATGCACATGGCAAGAGCTGAAAATCTTACCCGGTAAGAGCGATGATAAGTATAGAGAGTCTTACCCGATAAGTGATGGCGAGGACTCTTACCCGGGTAAGCGTTTACCGGGTAAATTGTTGTATACGATACCGTTTTTAATATACTATAATCTTATATGGTAAAATATATTACAGTGTTGACTCCTACTGGTAAGCACTTACCGGGTAAGTATTTGAGTAAACGGCCAATAAAGCGGCCCTGAAGAAACTCAAATTGGGCGGAGCCCCACGAAAAGGGTGGACCTATGTGGGAGCATGCAGTGGCTCGCCCCACCATTTTATGGTTCCGTTGTATTGGAAAATAAATTATATCTCAAGGGGGCAACTGTAATGTTTCATTGAGTGTCCCTATATTTTTTAAGACTTGACTTATGACAGAAGGTTGTAACAGTTGAGTTAGTCTAAGGTGCTAGATTAAAGTATCTTGCTTGAAAGGATGCGGATTCAAATCCCGCTTTTGGCAAATTTTATGTTTTTTCAGCTCTTAATTTTGGGTTCTATGGCTTTTGTTTTCTAATTTTTATTTTAAAAGAATTGGCTGTCAGAGGAATTGAACCCATGACCCGTCCTTCCAAATGCAATGAACCAACCAACAGATCTGTTATAATTTTGTGAAATTTTTCTATAGCTTTCACCTTGCGTTCAAATGGTACCACCGCAAAAAATGGGTCTGCAAGATCTAACATTTATGTGCCGGTTAAGCAGACCTCAAGGTTTATTGCATTTGCATTTTTGCAGAAAGGTTGCTTCCCCGATTCAACCTCATGGAAGAAGAAAAGAAAGATAATTCGATGTCATGGTTAGTGAACTTACTGTTAGCTAATTCTTCGTCCTCGTCACACCATCTATTCCAGTCGACCTTTATATATGGAGCAGGTTTCTCGTTGGATTTCAAGAGTCGTTTCCACCAACTTTTCTCCTCTTTCTGAACGGTGCATAGTATATTCCTCAACCCCATTTGGGTTTTGCAGCCCTGTTTCAGAGAGAGATGGGAAATAAAATAAATTACAGCCTCAAGATCAAGCATTTACAGCATGCATAATTCAGAGCATAGAATCAAAGATGCTTAGATATTAGAAGAGAAAAGAGGTATCGTTTGACTTTTGAGGTCAAACAGACCAACTCTTAGCCTTAAATTTAGTATGAATTCATGTGGAGAATGTTTGACCTCGGTAACAAATAATACAGCTAAAACGTCATGGTATTATATTTATAAAAGAACATAGTGAATCTTGAGGGTACAAAAAAACTAGATTTGACCTTAAGATGCGATAAACGATAACAAATAGAAAGGCACACTCGATAAATCAAAAAGCTTAGTGCTCACCTCGGGTAGTATAGTCCCATAAAGTTCCAAACTGAAGTCAAAGGTCTCATCGTTAGCCCCAACGGCAGAAAAGTTAAACGATCCATGGGGTTCGCATTTAACCGCAATGTCTTTTGCGTGAGTTAGATCTATGGTCAGGTAAACTTTATCTGCGCGTTGAGCCCAAAGAATCTCTGGATGGCTTCTGCACAGTTGCATAAATTTAAAATTAAACACAAACAATCAACAAAACTCTAATGATCGGAACCATTTGATACATAAGTTTTCAATGGAGAACTTGTCAAGATATAAAACAGATGGAAATAGGCTTAATACATAGTATGAACATTTATATTTTGTCTATTCTTTACTCGTCCAGTCGATCTATAGTCTTGGTAATCGTGTAACAAGGTCTCCAAAAAGATTGGAATGCCCTGTAGGCTATATTTGTCATTCAAGTCTAAGGTCCGGTTTTTTATGGTCATTTGACATTTTCATTTGGTGGATTCCAGGAAGGTTCTAAATGACGTGGGGCGTGGTGTGGCAGCGAGGTCAAGCCTCAAGCCTTACGAGTTACGGCAAGGCCACGACGTTTTTTAAGGTGTGCCCTAAGGCAGCATATATATACACATATACTCACCCGCCTACACTTGTATGTGTTAGTGTTTTGAATAATACTTTAGAACAAATTTAATTCATATAAAGTAATAAAACTAAAAAAGAAAGAAGAACAATTTACACCAAATATACAGAGCTTATAAAAAATGATATCAAGTGTGTAAAATCGCGATTCAATCTCTTGAATCTCTACTCACTACTTTTTTCAATTTTCAAAGAATTGTGTTCGACTTTTCGTGTACGTTCAATGGGAGTAATTATTTACCTATTTAAGGTTTTAGTTTTTAATTTTTCTTTTTATGTTTATTTAAGTCCTAAGCCTTGTACATCATTATCATTTATCACAAATTATATATTAAAGTAACCCCACACCTTACAAAATAATGCGTCGTAACGTGCCATAACACACCATAAAGCATTACAATGCAAGCCAAGCCTTAGAGTGGAGCCATAGGGGTTAACGCAGTGGCGAACCCATGTTGCGAGTCCCGTTAAGCTCATTAAGCTACTAACAGTTAGGCCCTTGCGCTCCCTAGGCTTCAAAAGAAAGCTGCATTTCAACTAGTTCTAGGAAGGCATTTAAAAGCAGTGCAACAGATATCTGTTAAATTCATGCTCAAACTTGAGTAATTTCACATTCAAAGTTCGACAGTTCGACTACAGGTTAGCTACAAAACTAACACCCCACTTTTCTATTTCTGCAACTACTTTTTCAAAATTTCACAAAATCCATAACCTAATCTCAATTTTCATTCAAACGAACAAACTATAAACAAGAACCATCTAATGTATGATCTTCGCATCATTGCGATCGTTTCAAAAAAAGCAAAAAAGGATGATATCTCTGTACAATAATCTACGAGGATTTCATCAACAATTCTAACTTAGTCGAAGAAAAAATAGCACATCTTCTAACGATCGATAAAAACATACGACTGATATTGCACTAAAACCAAAAAGAAAGTTAAGCCACATAACGATTTTACCTCATTTTTCGAAAGAACTTTGGCCTGCAGGGTGAATTCGACAGTCGGTCCGGTGAATCGGCGAGGGTTGCAAAATCTTACCGGAAAACTAATTCTGAGAGTACGGAAGCCCAACACACTTTATATTGGTGTTTATAGAACTTACACTTTTAGTCCCTCAACTATGACCAAATTCTAACATTGGTCCTCTTGGTTCAGTTTATTTCATTTCGGTTGGTTCTTGGTTCATCATTCATGTACTCTTTGAAATTTAGGGTTAGATATGGGCTAATTTTTTGTTACTCAAAGGTCTACAAAAATAAGTTTGAATCCTCTGTCTTGGTTATGTGGCATATGACATAACGTGAATCTGCCTTGGTTAAGAAGGATTGATAGATCAATGGTTTTCGGCCTTCAGCAATTGTTCGTTGGGTAAAATCATAGTCAGTGTCCCATGCTACTGCATTCGCTTGTATCTGCTCTCATTCCAACCCAACTAGTTCCTTACCTTCCAGAGTGCCAAACACAACATCGTTGTGTTGCCCATGAGCTCATATGGTATAATACTAATTGTCTTGTGAAGCAAGTGCCAAACCCGCCTTGCCCACCCGTTGATTTTACTCCCAGGAGCCGCCACTCATGCTTAATAGTCTTTCGCAACGTCATAACGGTTAGAGTGGGAAACACGATTATGTGTATAGTATTACAAATCAGATACATTGTTGAGATATCTGTGTGCCTAGTCCTCAACTGAACATGTGGTGGAGGCACCCTGCCACAACCCTCCAGACAATATTATTGTCTCTTGGTGACACTTATGTCTTCCATGGTCATTTCATAATTCCAAAGCTCTCGTATGTTTTCTCAACTGTCTTTCACGTTATGGATAAAACGATATACGTTGCGAACCGAGTAGTGACTCGTAGATTCCCTCGTCCATTATCACGCGTCATCGCGGATATGATTGATTAACTAGATTCCTCAAGCCAAGCTGCTATCACCATCATTAAAAACATTAGATTTCATAAAGTGAACATCTTTTTTTATGTTTATTATTATACAATGAAATGCAAGAATCTAGTTGTTGACATATTTTTTATAAGCAAACCGATGTGAAGGTTCGGTATTTTTTTTACATTCACAGCGTTTTGTTGTGAAGTTTCAAATGTAAAAAAATGATCTCACGGGTCTCAGGAAAATAGTCTGGTCTCACCTGAACCCACCCCCTACTCGTCAATATAGATATAAAATATAATTAGGACAAACTTTATTACGTTTTTAATACATTTCACATTAACTTTATTATATTATCCTGGGGTCAAATTTTCAGGGTTATTATCATAAACAAACCATACAGGGGATTTGTTTTACTGTTTAGGCACCTCCAAAAAGATAAAATTCACAAAATAGTCAAGAAACCCTTAATGGGCTGTTTGACAATTGTTGAATAATTTGGTGCAGAAAGATTAAATGGTTAGAATGACTAAAAGACTCTCATGATATAGTGTAAAATGAAATATAATTTTTTGGTAATTGTGTACAATGAAATTAGGGCTCTTGATGGTTAAGGGAGATTCAGGATACAAAATCATTCAGAGAGTTTTAGAACCATTAAGAGACATATTTTTTTTGCCAAACAAGATTTACCTCTTAACGATTCAGAGGTTTCCTCTTAATGAAACTATTAAGAGATAAACAAACACCCTCTGAGTCAACATTGCAGACACTTTTATATGTGGTTTCTGACATTTTTTGCACATCTAGATAAAAAGTGGGTCAACTGCAAAAATAAATTAAGCTGCTCAACTTGCAGGGTCGCAAGAACATACGTCAGGATATAAAAAACAAGTCAAAGTTGTAGCTTATTACACCTTAAAGGATTGTTTATTTACCTCTTAATAGTTCTATTAAGAGACAATCTCTTAATCGTTAATAGGTGAATATTGTTTGGCAAAAAAAATCTGTCACTTTATAGCTATAAAACCCTCTGAATGATTTTGTATTTTGGACATCTTTTAACCATTCAGTGCCCTAGTTTTATTGTAAACAATTATCGGACACTTATATTTTATTTTACACTATATCATGAGAGTCTTTTAATCATACTGACCACTTAACCATTCAGTAACTGTCAAACTGCAAAAGAAAAATGAAAAAATATCTTGATCTTTTTGAGCTTATTTAGGGTGCGTTTGGTACGCAGACAGGACAGGACGGGACATGACAGGACAGGACAGCTATTCAGCGTTTGGTAAGACATGATAGGACTGGACAGAACTGGTTAAAATGACCAATTTACCCCTATTGAGTCAATCCTAGAATTCTAACCACCATGATCAAATTAATCTACCATCAGATTCTAAACCCTAAAAACTTCAACTTCAATCAATTTTACAGTGACAAATTTCGACCAAAACCCTAATTTGAATTGCTAATGATGCAGATTACCAAGCATTACAACCAGATCCATAAATCGATACAAACCCTAATCGATAGAAACAGCAAACAGATCCATAAATCGATTCAAACCCTAAATCGATTCAAGCATTACAACCCTAAATCGAATCAAAACCCTAAATCGAATCAAGCATTACAACCCTAAATCGAATCAAAACCCTAAATCGAATCAAGCATTACAACCCTAAATCGAATCAAAACCCTAAATCGATTCAAGCATTACAGCAAATCATACACATAAAATCGAACAACAAATCGAATCAAACAGTCGAGTTAGGGCAAATCATACACAGCAAATCGTCGAGAAGGAGATGAAGGTACAGCCGTCGAGATGAAGGAGATGCCGGCGAGATGAAGCGACTTCGTCGGGAAGGAGATGAAGGTACAGCCAGCGAGATGGAGCGACGGGGAAGACCGGCGAGATGAAGGGACTTCGTCGGGAAGGAGATGAAGGTACAGCCGGCGAGATGGAGCRACGGGGAAGACCGGCGAGATGGAGCGACGGGGAAGACCGGCGAGATGAAGCGACTTCGTCGGGCGGCGAGATGTTTGTACAGCCGGCGAGATGGAGCGACCGGCTCTGTGTAGGCGATAGGAGAAGGCGATAGGAGGGAGGGTTCAGATGGGTATATTAGTAAAATGCTACCTTGTTCCACTTAGTTCCAGGGGTTGAGGGTGGACAAGCTTGTCCCACACGGGTTCCACTTAGTTCCACGTAAAAACACACCAAACATGGGACAAGTGTGTCCTGTCCTATCCTGTTCCACGTACCAAACGCACCCTTAGAAGCATTTGTTGCTTTGTTCTTTTTCACTACACAAATTTTGCAATATATTTGTTATTTTGTCGTAACATTCATATATATGCTTTCTCTAAGCTATCGGTGATTGAATGGAAGTACTGGTGAGATGAACCTTAAAATGTCTCATATATGAAATACATTCATGATACTGAATATATTTGTTATATTTACATGTCATTTTTTTAGGGAAAAATGCACAAAATAGCAATCTACTTTCATAATTTTTTTTATTATAACATTGTACTTTCAGTTTTTCTTATTACAGCAATGTACTTTCAAACTATTTTTTATTAAGACATTGTACTTTGAAAAATTTACCCATTATAGCATTGGGTAACCTTTTGATTTAAATTTACCCATTATACTAGGTTTCCATGACACCTCATTGTCCACATAGGCTGTCCACATGTACTATAGTGATGTGACTTTCTTACTACATCATTGTATTTTCAAAATTATTTTATTATAGCATCTACTAGTTCTTATTAAACACTGTATTTTTACTTTTAATATTTAGATATTTTACATGTTATTTAATAAATGTATTAAATGAATTAAAAAATTCTAAATTATTCATTAATATACCAATATCAATAAAACTAGTAGAACACAACTTATCTCACTAACATTTTTAAAAAATATGCATTTTTTGAAAAAAAGAAAATAAGAATTGTTCATTTTTTACCAAAAAATATTATCTTTTAAAGAATATATTATATTTGTTCAAAAACTTTTTACTTGACGTATAAATATATTAAATCAAGTAGACTTTTTTGAATTATTTATTAATATAACAATATTAAAAAATTGTAGATAACAATTTATTTCGTTAATATTTTAAAGAGAACTTTAAAAGATATGTATTTATTTGAACAACATAAAATAGGAAAAATTACCTTTTTTACAAACAAAATATATCTCGAAAATAATGTTTCATATTTAGTTATTAAATATTTAACTCTAAGAATATTTAATTTGAATGCAACTTAATAAGAAAAAGAAAAAAAAATAAATGTTTTTTTAGATCATAGCAATGAAAAATGAAAATCACTAATAATAATTTGAAATATGTTTTTATTTTAATTTTAGTTAAGTCATCAAAATAATGTGGCATCTACATCACCCCATTAAAGCCACATAAGCAAAAAAGTCAAAGGATTAACCGGTTTAAAAGGTAACAGGTTACCTATTGCTATTATGAGTAGATTTTTTAAAGTACACTGCCTTAATAAAAAATAATTTAAAAGTACATTGTTGTAATAAAGAAAAACAAAAGTAGAATGCTATAATAAGAAAATTTATGAAAGTAGGTTGCTATTTCATGCATTTAGCCTTTTTTTTTATAAAATTGTTAACAAATTCATAAGTTAAATTTGATTATTTTTTAATCTTCATAATCTGAAAAGATTATACAAACGAATTTGAAAAATTTTGCTTACAATTTTACAAATTGATACGGTTTCTTTACTTGCCCCAAGTTCCCCTCTTTTTGATCTTTCACAACATTGGGCCGCAATAGACGTAAGGGTTTATCATGGCCCTAACACTTGCAGTGTGTTCTTTTGTGAGGATTTTGATGTTTCTCTCTAGCAATTCAAGAATTGCGATGTCTGCTTTCTGAATCATGTTTCTATTAAGCATTTTTGGATCTTGAACTTGCTCTAGAATCTGCCTGCATACAATCAACCATGAGACGAAGCCTAGGAAAGTTTTCACACCAAGCTATTGGACACACAGGTGGAAAAGCCATTCTCTTGTCATCATCGTCCTCATTTGATTTCTCTACAACTGCCGGAAACAATGGCGGTGGCGGTGGTGGTGGAGGTCGCGGCCGAGGATCTGATTTCCCTAAGTTCAGTTTAATAGATTCTGTCCCTGGCAAGAGAGAGCAAACGAATCCTGAAGACGATACATCCTCACCGCCTCCATTCGGCCATGGTCGAGGTAAACCTCTCTCATCGTCCCCAAATATTCCTCCATTTTCATTAATTGGGGCCTCTGGTGCCAATAGAGGTACTGTTGCTGGGCGTGGTCGAGGCACATTCCAGTCTCCTCAATTTGAAGAAAACTCTAGACAAACTGTGCCACCGCCTCCTCAATCGGAGGAAAAATTAAGCCCTAGAACTCCCGTATTTTTTCGCAAGGACGGTCTCAATTTCCCCCCGAAAGCACTAAACCAAGATCAATCAGAGAATCAAGAAAAGGATAATCTCCCTAAAAGCATCTTGTCTGTTCTATCTGGTGCGGGCCGTGGGAAGCCTACTCAATCCACTACACATGTTGAGAAGGTGGAGGAAGTAAACCGGCATATCAAACCTAGACAATCTGTGCAGCCTCGGCCAACATCTCCTAAGATGAGTCAAGAGGAGGCAATAAACAGGGCAAGAGGTATTCTTTTCAAGGAGGGAGATGGTGGCGCTGAATATGGTGGGAGTGAGACCCAAGGAGGATTTAGAGGAATGGGGGCAAGAGGTGGTGGTGGTGGTGGCAGAGGGCAAAGGGGAGGTTTTGTTGGGAGGGGAAGAGGAATGGGGAGAGGAAGGGGAAGGGGAAGAGGAAGGGGGAGGGGAATGTCTTATCGTGATGATGATGGCGATGATGAAGATGAGGAAGAAACAGCGGATGACAAAGCTAATGCTGAGAAGCTTGCAAGATATCTTGGGCCTGAAAAAATGGATCTTTTGGTTCAAGCATATGAAGAAGCTAGTGCAAGCGTGCTGCCTAGTCCGGAGGAAGACGCCTATGTTGATGCAATGCATACCAATCTTTTGGTATTGACTTTCTTGATTGTTACACTTGGGATATGTGGAACCCCTTTGAATCTCTCTCTATAAGAGCCCTTATAGAGAGGACAGGTTCCTACGTGTATACATGTTTGATGGTCCGTCTAACCGATGTTGGACTCCAGCAATTAATAGTTGTATTTGTAATATGTTTAATTAATTTGCTATTTGATTATGCCTGCAGCTAGAATGTGAACCAGAGTATTTGATGGCTGAGTTTGATTCTAATCCCGACATTGATGAGAACCCTCCCATTTCTCTTCGAGATGCTCTTGAGAAAATGAAGCCTTTTCTAATGGCTTATGAAGATATTCAAACTAACAAAGAATGGCAGGTAAGTCACCTTGCCAACTCAGTTTTAACAGACATAAAAACAAGCCTCAATCTTCTCGTTAGTATATGATATTGGTTTTATTTTTTTGGTCACCATTGGATTAAGAGTTGCAGAATACTTAACGGGTCTGTTGTCCCTTTAAATTGCTTTTTACGGAAAGTAATTAGTTTTCAGTTGGCGGAACTTGCTGTATAGTAACTCATAACACCACTTTCAATTTCAATTATGGGATGAAAGCCGAGTTTTGTTTTGTAATTGGCGAATCCACTGTTCTTTTCAGGATGTTGTGGAAGAGACAATGAAGAATCTCCCTCTAATGAAAGAGCTTGTAGATTATTATAGTGGACCTAACAGGGCAACTGCAAAAAAACAAGGGGAGGAGCTGGAAAGAGTTGCGAAAACTCTGCCTGCAAGCACACCTCCGTCTGTAAAGCGCTTTACTGACCGAGCTGTTCTCTCTCTCCAGGTTTGACATTCTTCTATATAATTTGAGATTTCGAGCTCATTCTAATTTTATGAGCTATGCATGCATGCTTCTTGGTATGAAATTTCTTGGAGACGGAGAACTAGGATAGCAGACAAGGTTTGAGGATGGTAGCTAGCGTTGTTGGATAGGTTGGGGGTAGAGGGTTGGCATTTTAGGCTGGAGATGTGTTGTTTGATCTTACTTGCTCCATATGTCCTGCCTTTTTGTACCTTTTCGTATGTTTTAATGCACCTACTCGTTACTTTTTCTTACTTATTTTTTGTGCTTCTTCCACCATATGTTAGTCTTTGTTCCTTCCACTTGTTTGCTCACATTATTGCACAAGTCGGGGGTCTTCACGGGAACAACTTCTCTACCTTGTTGGGTAGAGGTCAGGTCTGTCTACATCTCACCTCCCACACCCTATTTTCGAGTGGGACTTACTGGTTTAGTTTGGTTTATTACATCTAAACAAAACAAACAACATTTCAAGGTCAAATTACAAAACTTTGGTAGCATTGCCGCTTAAATCTTGACATCCTAGTCGTATATGGGAGAAACCTTATGAATGAAGTTCGTGGCATAAATTTCTCTCTCAGTACATGCCCTGTGCACAACCCTTTTAAACCTTTACGCTTTGAATAAAGTTCAATGGTGGACTGAGACAGAAAATAGAGTTGGAGAAAATTTGCACAAACAATTTAAGGCCCCAATTTACACCTTCATGTCTTAAAAAGGTTTTAAGGCCGATTTACACCTTCACGTTGACTGCTGTCTTCAAGGTTCAAACTGATGGTCTAAGTTTTTGTAAGGGCAGTTTAGTGGTGTACCTTTTGTGCTATTTTTACATATTCATACTATAGTAACGTATGAGGTGATTCGAAGTTTTACATTCTAAGAGCTTCTCCAACCCACACCTCTAAAAAAGCACTAGAATGGAGGGTCCATCTAACACTAAAACCCCTTTCTCCTCCGACCATACACAAACTTTTGCAGGGGATGAATAGTACCTGCTATATACAACGGTCTTCCTCTGAAAATGCAGTTTTGCCGGCCAAGGTACTGGATGGTTGGAGAAAGCCGACCGGCAAAAGAGAACTTTTATTGGTCGGTTGGAGATGCTCTAATATATTTAGGAAATCTCTCAGGTCCTACAGGACCTGTAACTTGCATCTTCACGGCGTTCTAAAAAATGTGACATGACACAAGGCCATAGTTGTTAAAAGCGCGCCTCCCTAGGCTATGAGGCTCATAAGGCTCCAGGTCTTGGCTTTTTTAAAGTTGAGGCTAGGCGTATTCACGAGGCTCACTAAGGCCTTGCGTCTTGGCTGAGGCGCCTTGTGGGCCTAGGCGCGCTTCATAAAGAGTTATTAAATACCAAGTCAAACCCTAATATTAATTAAGTTTTCTCATCTTTTTATCTTCTAGACTTCTTTAAAAAATAGATTGACATAAGTCAAACCCTAATATTAAATACCCAATTCTTATAACTTCAAGCCTCTTTTTCTATAAATACCCATCCTTAAAACTTCTCCCTCATGGCTCACACTTTAAACCCTTCTCCCTTCTGCCTCTATCGAAGTACTGCCGGTTGCTGCACTAGAGTACTTGCTACGTATTTGAGTTGCGTATAACTCTGTATGTGTGTGTGTATATATATATATATTCTTTTTTATGAGATGGTCCTCACATTCCCGAGGCCTGCGCCTGAAGCCTAGGCTCCGGGACCCCTTTGTGCCTTGAGCCTTTAACAACTTTGCACAACGCTGTCATGATGCCATGTTTGCCTTATGGCATGCCATGGTTTAATGAGTGTTTCGTGTAAGGCGATATTTGATCTTTTCTTTTTACTTTATAATTTTTCTTACTCTTTAGTGTTTTAATTTTTAGGTTTAGTATATAACCTACTTGTATATGGTCTTATGTCATAGTAATAGTAGAAAAAATGTGTATGTATATAACTATATATAATTATATATATGATATACAAATTTGCCACAAACGTCACGCCTTAAAAAATGATGTGGCCTCACCGTGGTTTGTTGTGCCACTACTCACACTATTCAGACCCCCGTATGGAAATGAGACCCACACAAAATGGAAGTTTGATTTGTAATGGAAGGGGGATAGCTCTTCCGCTTATTGATTAGGGTTAGCGGCTTTGCACCTACATCTATAGGAGAGCTAGTTAGTCTTCCTTCCCTTCTAGCTTGGTGCTTCCCAGCGAGGCCAAGCTTTATGCTGCTATGGAACTCTGCTAGGGTCTTACTATCTTTTTTATAAAAGAGTTGATCAAAATCACACAAGACAATTGATAGCAATATGGGGAAGTTTCATTTGGCAATAATTGTTTTGCCTAGCCCTACTTAAGCATGCATCTTATGAAAGCTATAACATGAATGGAATTTAGATTATGATTAAAATAAACCAAACCAAACCAAACCAAACGAGCGCACTATGTCCTACCCCGGGGTTCGCAAAAGGGTGGGGCAACTTTGCTCAAATACAAGACAGTTCCTTGGTTCAATCCCACGCCCCCACTAGCCTCGGCCGCTGAGTGAGCCATAAAAATTCCCCCTCACATTGGTGTCCTTGGAGGCGGGTTCCGTGTGAGGCTGAGGTTGCTGGTAATCAACTTTTTGCCCAAATATCTTAGCCGGAGGTGGGGTCTGGGGAAGGTAAGATATACACGGCCCTGACCTCTTCCTGAAAAAGTAGAGCAATTGTTTCCGTGAAGACCCTCAGCTAGGGAAAAGTTGATAACACATGTGGGAAGCAAACTTTAGGTCATCCAACTATTTCATAGGATCTATAAAAAGTTGATAACACTTGTTGGATTTAAATATTAGGCGTATGATGTACAAGGTTCTAAATGGCGTGAGACGCTTCCTATTTGAGCCAGTGTATTGAACCATAATGATTAAACAAATTAAATTCATATGAAACTATAATAAAAGAAGAAACATGCATTCATAATTTAATATACAAAGTTTACAAAAATGATATCAAGATATCATAACAAAAAGAATATTTTATTAATGGTTTCATAATCCATATATCTCTAATTTAAAATTCTAATATCATATGCCAAAAACATGTTAGAGTGGATCAAATTAGAAGCATCTTATAAAGAAATTATTCTTCCATGTAATCTTCATCGTTTATTTTCGTCATCGAAATTGAATTCATAATCTTCCTTGCCTTCAACTTATGGTTAATGAATTTCCACTTTTAGTGAATAAGTAAAATCATTAATATTTGATTTAATAAGCCATAAAGTAAAAGAAAAACAAAACCCCATTCACGCCTTATAACCCGTCATAACACGCCATAACCTGCCGTAACGTGCTATAACGCAACATACTGCAAGCCACTCCTAGAGTCGCACCACCAGCTTTAACGTGGCGGGGAGGCCACGCCTCGACGTTATTAGAACATTGATTATGTATAAGTTCCAAGCTTGCTTTACCCACTAGTTTAATTAAACTGAAATAGTTTATTGATGATAGTTATAGTAATTTGCATTTTGATTTGTCATAGAGTAGTTATGATGTTCTTTTGACAATATTCAAATATACAAAGGGCAGATTGCATGAAAAAGTAGCGTATTTTATCTTGATTCCTGTTTCGGGTAACGTACTTCCAAAACTTCCATTTTGGTACCTAAGATGTAAAGTTTTAAACATTTAAGTACCCGGGTAACCGGTTGATGTGGCGAGTGATGTGGTATCCGGTTAATGCTTCAGCAAATAATACCAACTCTTCACCAAATACACTATCGAATGGGAGTACCAAAGTGTATTTGGTTTGGTTTTTATTATAAATATAGTACTTGTGGTACTTTGTTTGTTTAAAGAAAATCAGAACACTTTCTAATTAGGAAAGTAATATTCTAAATTTTAGGAATGTGTAATCATTACATTTTTAAATTAATTAAATGGCAATTTTGCCCTTAATCACAGAGGGAATAATGAATTTCTCGGACTCATAATTGAGGGTAGAATTGGAATGGATAACTTATTTTGGGACAAACAAAAATAAATACATGGGCATTTATTTAGTTAATTTTTACATTCATATTTATATGTTATAACTGTATCCTGCAATATATTTGTGCATTGCAGAGCAACCCAGGATGGGGATTCGATAGAAAATGTCAATTTTTGGATAAGCTTGTGTGGGAGGTTTCACAGAGTTACAAGTGATTTTCTACTATTTTTTGGATCAACTTCTCATGACTGGTATATGGATCTCTCTTTGTAGTGGTCGGCCTTCTAGATGCTTCTTTTTGGTTTCCAACTGGTAAAACCTTAAATTGACGTTTGGTTATATGTACTCTTGTATTTTTGTTTGTAATAATCCATGTTGGAATTTTGTTTGATTTGGTATTATTAACCCTTTTGAGGGTCGGTTCAACCGACGACAAATACAGGTTAGGTGTTTGTGTCGATTTTTCTAACTGTTATTTACAGGGTCTGCTAAAATTTGTTGAAGTTGCTTTCACCTATCGTCCATTTTCGTAACGAATTTTTGACTTTCTACCTTTTGCATTTAAATAAAACAAAACCTATTACCATCAAAATTCAAAACCCACCAAAGGGTCTTTGGTCTAGCGGTATGTGAGTCAATGATCTCTTAAAAGGTCAAGAGTTTAAATATTACCAAAGGTGAGGAGAGTGTGTGAGTTTATTTGTTTTATTTATCGTATATAAATATTATATATTTCCAAAAAAAATTGCACCTTTTCAAGTCATTCTTCTTTTTCCTACCCTATGGTTAGCTTTTGGTTTGATAGAAATATCTTGAGGGATTTAGAATTAGAATAATTTGAAACACAAAAGATTAAATGGTGAAGTTTAAATACATAAATTGCGGTTTCCATCCCTATCGTTTATAATTCATTGTATTTTCGTCCTTATAATTTACAATTTATTGTTGTTTCGATCCTTGTTGTTTGCAGTTCTTTATTGTTTGTCTCTTGTATTTAAATGTAAAAATTAGTTTATGGATGAAAATAACAATAAATTATAAACCATATTAATGAAATTCCAATTTTAAAAGTATAGGGATGAAAATCGAAATTATTAACGTAAATGAAAACCGTAATATACTCTATTTATTTAGGGGCTGTTTATTAAACACTTACCCGGTAAGTACTTACTGAGCATTTTTTCTCACCGAATGAACATGGCAAGGGGCAAGAATCTTACTCGGTAAGAGCGATGATAAGGATGAAGAGTCTTACCCGGTAAGTGAGGGTAAAGACTCTTACCCGGGTAAGCGCTTACCAGGTAAATTGTTGCATAAATACGTTTTGATGTACTACATTTTTACCCGGTAAAATAAATTATAGTGTTAACTCCTAATGGTAAGCGTTTACCAGGTAAGCATTTAGGTAAACGGCTCTTTAGTTATAAAAAACAAAGAATATAATCTTTCCAAAACACATAAAAGATTAAATCGTGAAGTTTAAATACATAAATTGCTTTAAAATAGTAAAAATTGATCCATTCTAAGTTCTTTATGGATAAAATTCTTTGCACAAATTAATCAGGTTGTATAGATTGAAAATATTTTTGTTTAAGAGTTTTTTCATAAATAGAATAAGGGTTTGTTCGACAGTTGCTGAATGATGTGGTACATAATGATTAAGTGGTTAGAATGATTAAAAGACTATCATTATATAGTGCAAAATGAAATATAATTGTTTGATAATTGTTTACAATAAAATCAGTGCGCTGAATGGTTAAGGGAGACCCGTAATAAAAAATCATTAAGAATTTCATGAATTTGAAATACTGGAACTTCATCAGGATTTTGAAGTCCCATAGGAATGGATGGTCGATTGATATTTCATATGATTTCGTAAGGTTTATATATAATCAAAATTTAAAATATATTAATAATAATATTTTAATTTAAATAATACAACGCTTTCTTTAGTGGAAAACTTATGTAAAAGTTGGTTAGTTTGGGAATTCTAGTTTCTTTTGGKGTATAAAATAATGCATAGAAAAGAGTAATGAATTGCATGTGGGACCATTGTATTCAGTTGGTGATGTTAACCCATAGAAACAGGTAGTGAAAACATGTGTAAGGGCCCAGTGTTTTCATATGATCTGGTGTAGCTCTGGACCATGGTTTCTCATGTGAACTTCACATGCCATGCGTCTGGGGTCATGACACCTGTTTATTTTTATATTATATAACTCAAAAAGGAAATTCTTTAATTTTTCTTTAAAATAAAGAAAATAAAAGCGGGATATTTAAAGTTGACCAAAAATTATTATAATAATAAATAATTGTTTTTTTAATATATTTTGTAAATATTTAAAGGGAGAAATATAATATTTTTTTATATATTTTACTTACTGAATAACATTTTAGTCTATCGAAATGGTATTGTATGCAACAATTTACCCGGTAAGTGTTTACCGTGGTAAGAGTCGTCGTATTCACTTACCGGGTATGACTCTTGGTCCTTGTCTCTTTTTACTGGGTAAGATTCTTGGTCTTTATCATATTATCCGATAAGGTAATGTGACTTGGTATTTACTTACCCGAGTAAGCATTTGGTAAACGGTCATTTATTCTCCATTTTAGAGAATATGTTGAAGATAGCTCTAACAGTTTCATTTTTGTGTTATTTTTTTCCAGTATTATCAACTAAATAAATTAAGAATCACTTACAAGCATTATTTTCTTTTATTGATCTCGTAAATCTTTTCAATGTAATATATAAGTTAATATGCACATATGAGGGCTTATTCAAGAGAGAACTGATTAGTTTGTAGTAACCATGAGATTTAATGTGAACTACTCGTTTGACTTATTTAAAGATATTTATTAAATAAACAAAAATAGTAATATAATAATTTTATTTTTGACAACTAATTAAAATATTCAGTTAAATTTTTTAGAATGAAATATTTAATTAAAATTAGTTACCTAGGATATATATTACCTAATATACATCATATTTTAAATACTTTTGTGAATCAAAGTGTATCATATTGATATCGTTCACACTGTTTCACATGTATCACAATGTATTTTATTTGTTTTATAAAGTATCACAGTGTGCATTTTCGTTATTTTCATAGTTTTACAAAGGATATCACATTGTGCATTTTGTATGTATATCTGGGTATCACAATGTGTATCTTGTGTTCACATAAGATTTATTGAAATAAGATTCACCAAATAAGATTCGTCGGAGAGAGAAAGAGGAGAGATGAGTGTTAGGATCAAGTGCCTACCCACTACACCAAAAGCAATTGCCTTGGTGAAGGTGCAACCTTATTTCCCTTATAGCGTAGCAGCCAGCGCCACATTTCGATTTAGGAAGATGCTGGAACCGTGACCAACAATCCCCCCCAGCATCTGCCGGTACTAATAAGAGCTTCGTTAGAAGTCAATGGCCKYGYARCATGCCTTTCTCATAATTATGCACTMCTTGCATATTATGCACACCATGGGATTCAAACCTGTGACCTGCTCTAATACCAATTGTTAGGATCAAGCGCTTACCCACTACACCAAAAGCAATTGCCTTGGTGAAGGCGCAACCTTATTTCCCTTATAGCGTAGCAACCAGCGCCACGTTTCGATTTATGAAGATGCTGGAACCGTGACCAACAATGAGAGAAGATATTTATAAAATCCCTAAAATGCCCTTAATTAATATTTTAAGTTAAAAATTATTAATTTTCTAATTTAATCTTTGATTTGTGATTGAGATTTGATCTCACAGTTACCACAAACAAAACAGTTCTCATTTGATTAAGCTCATATATAAACTAACAAGATAACCATAGATCACCATAGAGCCAAGGTCAAGGGGTTCCACCCTACGGAATTCTAGGGGCAACGCCCCTGACGGGTTTTCAAGGGACAAACCTTCAGTAGTGTTAAGTCTTAACTTAGAAAGCATGTAGCCTTCTGAACGGAAACTTTTTGAACTTCTATTCAGAAAGTCTGTATCTTTCTAAATTTTATTCAAAAAGTCCGGCCTACTGAATTCTTATTCAGATCGCATGTCTTGGATTCATAAGGCAAGTAGCTTTCTGAACTCTGGTGTAGTAACCGTTGTTATCTTATTTGTTGGTGGTTACTTGATAACAGATCTTATATGCAAATCACTGCTTAACATTTTGCATATAAATCCAGAGTGTGTGTTTGGATTTGTTTGAAGGGTGTCCCAGACTATGCATGAACTAATCCCAGCAATTTGTGACCATAAGAAATCAGTCATGATAAAATCAGTGGTCACAATTGTTGTGTATGCCTAGAATCAAACCTTGAACAGATGAAATATTCTATGACATCCTTAGGACCCCAACCACTATGCCATAACCCAACTTACTCTTATTAATCAATTATAAACAACTAGAAAGGTATTTGTGTAATACACCGAAATACATCTCGATTTTAATGTTTCATTTTATTATGTCTTTATCGATGTTATAATACGATTTTATATGGTTTTGAGGAAACGATAATTTTTTATTTTTGAATAAAATATAAATTTAAAGATATCATATAAGTTTGAAAATATATCGATATTAATTTCAAATTAATTGTTTACAAGTTCTCATTTTTTTTTATAATTTTTTAATTTTAATAAAAAAATAATTTAAGTCTAATAACGAATTAATTAACTTTTTATTTAATAATATAGTTTTTAATAGAAATAGTAATTAAGTACTCTGTTAGAACTCAATGATTATTTTAATTATATGTTACATTTTTTATTTTTAAAATAAAATGTTTATCCAATATTTAATTATACTTATCTACAGTTAGTTATAAAAATTCAAATATGAAGCTTTAATAAGTTATACTTTTTTCTATTAACATGAATATTCAACCCGCTATGTGAGACGACTAATCCCAGGACGACCACCTGCTTTGCAAGTAGCCCAGAGTCACCACATTTGAACCTCCGTAGCCACAAGGGATTTTTGTTCCTTCTTGGATTTGAACCTGGAATCTCCAGACACTTTTGATCTTTGGAGCAATGCTCAAACCAATCAGACATCATCCTTGTGATTTTAATAAGTTATACTTACGCACAATCAACTTGTAATCATAAATTATAAGTAATATGTATCAATAAATAGTAGTTCATGCATAAAAAATAATTTTTAATTTTTTTTATCAAATGTTTTATAATATAATATAGATAAACAATATGTTATTGTAAAGCGAATTTAAAGGGATCTCGTGAGTCGGATTTTTGCTTTCTTATCCAAATTAATAAATATTTAAATATATATATATATATATATAATTAATTAAAAATGGTTGTATTTTTCCCATAATATATTCTAAAACCAAACCCTAAGTTAAGCCAAAATAACATATATTAAATAAATAATTAGAGCTCATT